GAAAAAAAAATTAAAAAAGTTCAAAACGGAGTCCAGTTGATATCCTTTATTGAGTTTTTCTCAAAAATTGCAAATACCGTTTAAATTTTTAAATGTTTGGCTTGTCTATTTTTTTCAGGAATTTTGTTTACAAAACACTTAATTAGCCAACAAATTGTTTATAATAACCTGAAAAATTGACGCTAACAATGTTTTTTTTGGGTAATTTGTTGAAAATGTTAATGAATTGGCAATGCCAATTTGGCATGGAATCTTTAAAACGATGTAAAAATATATGGAGTTTTTTAATTGAAATAACAAGGTTGATGTCACTTAAAATTTAAAATCGATATCATTTTTCAAAAATTGTTTATGTCAAAAAGTATTATTTAATGTAAAAATGTCCGATTCCTAACGGTTAAAAAAAAATTGGCAACACTGTGCGTCTATAAAATATTAAAATATGTATAAAAGGTTGACAGATGAATTTTCTAATTGTTTGTGTCAAAATATCAAAACTTTAGATCATAACAAATTGAATTTTTTTGGTTTTAAAACGTCATTAAACAATTTTTTCCTATCCATATACAGGGTGTCCAATGTTATCTGCTCACCATTGCTAAGTTTGTTATCATTGGAGCTACTGCTTGCATTTTTTCTCCATAATAAAATGGTGAAAACAGAAACCTGTATATTTTGACATTTAGAAACAAAAAATTATTTTTGCATTTGTTTCAAAAAATTATTATTGCATAGCTACCCTCAACTTATTTATTTTGAAGTTTAGAGTTTAGAGCTTTCATAACATATTTACAAACATTTTAAAATCATTATATATAATATATAAAGATATATCTTTGTTATTATATACAAAAACCGTAGTGTTTGCTGTGAATGTATGTTATTTAATTTATTATTATTATTTATTTATTCTAAATATACCGTTAAATACGATTAATTGAATTGTTTGTAATAAATATTTCGTATATTCCCCGTTCAAAAGAATGATCGTCTTAAAACAAGACTTTAAAATATTTGAAAGCAATTATTTTGATGAAGAATTTTATATATTTGATGTTAAAGTAAATAAACATATTTTATCTCCACGCGGTCTATAATTTAAACTTTATTGTTGTCAACATTTGATAAAGAAATACCTTGTTATGGCTTAGGCCGATAAAAATTTTTATGAGGCAAGTAATTAGTTCGCTAGGGGTATTGTTTTGACAAATTAATCCTTTTCTAAGAAATTATCGTACTAAACTGGTTTAATTTATTTATAATAAGCAGTAATTTGTTTGTTTTACTTTTAATGTTTATTATTTTTCATTAAATTATTGTAAAATTAAATATGAATAATAAAACAAAAAGTGAGGTTAGGCAACCAAGAAAACGCACAATTCTTTTTCTACGATTTAAATTATCTTTAAGTTTTAATTTGCTTTAAGTTTTCAGTGAAATTAAATGTTAAACACAGCTTTAAACATTCCAAACTACCTATTTTATAAATAAAAATCCAAACAAATTAAAATTAGATACCTACCTTTTTATTAAACAATTAATTGAATTCAAGGTAATAGCAAAAATCCATTTCTACTTAAATCATGTTGCTAGGTATTGTCAAACTATTACTGCTTCTAAAAGCAATAATAATTATTGTACATTTAATGAAATCTTTAGCTAATAAATAAATGAGATTCTAAAAAAGTAAGGTTAGGCCACTTTGATGTTAAATTAAATTGACCTATATAAAATGCTTTGAAGATAAAATGTGGTATGCCATTCGGCCAAGAAGTGCCTTTTTGTGCTTCGCTCAAATGTAGGCCTCCGCTACGCATCGGCCTTAAAACCTTGAGCTTAGCACAAAAAGCCTTACTTCTTAACCTAATGACATAAATAACTATTATATTCTAATTTAATATATCATAAACTTTTAAGTAATTGAATATGTTACTTTATGAATATTGCTCTATTTAAAATGAATGTTTTCATATGTTCAACATAATTATTGGCAATAGTCTTAACAAAAGAATAATAGCTATAATATACACTTGTAAAGTAAAATATCAAATATTCAGTTAAAATAAATTACTAAATCCATATCCAATAGTTATAGATTTGTTTTAAATATAATACCTTTGCATTTAGTTTACGCATTTAAATATATGAATTTGTTTGCTCTAAAACAAACATTTTTATGTGTGTATTATTAACAAATTTTAAATTTTTATTTTTAAAAAATCAATAATAATTATACTGTAGGTATATATACTTCAGTACTGAATCCAAATTTATTCTAGATCGAATTTTTTTAGAATTCAAAAATATTTTTATTTTTTTTAAGGTTAGAAAAAAACTGAGGGTGATGGCGAAATCCTATCACGGAGACATTCCTAAACACATGTGCTTAATTTACTTAAAAGTGATAAAATATCATGTTACAGGTCTGAAAAAAAGGGCCGTATATCTTAATACAAAAAGTAATTTACTACGGACTTCCTTGATGAAAATTGACGTAAAAATTGTTATTGATCCCTTTTTACGGACCATAATAAAGAAATTGGGGGCGTTTTATATTGGCTATCGGATATCACAGAACGAAAAAAATACCACAGATAGTTGGTAAACTAACAACGCATCATTATAGAAAAAGTATCGAGGGGGCTCGCAGCAACAAAAAAATACTTAATATTCTTCAGATTCTTAAAATACTGTTTGGAATATCAAGCGTTTCTGTGAAATCTATGTGGCGTGGCGTTTAGGCCTTTGTTGCATATTAATGCTGTTAATTTGCATTCAGATGTGCCCTTAGCAGTCGAGGTGTATGTTAAAAAGTATTGGGACAGTCTGCGTTAGATCTGACGATGATTTTAAGTACCCAGTTGATCTTGTGAGGTGGTTTAAAAATTGTTCGGTTCGTTGAAATTGTGTATTTAATAGTTTTGACGTTTTTTAAAATGTTGAAGTTTTGTTCGCCTTATGGACGAAGAAGGGAATATACGGTTTGTAATTCTTTATTTAAAAATTAAGTATTTGTTTTATGTTATATACACTAGGGTGTTTAAAAAAACAATTATTTTTTTCTATTATAATGGTATTGAAAAATTAATAATACATTAAAAAAAAATGTTGGCGCCTATTTGAGCCCTTAGTATTAATATTAAGGTTTGCCTCAATTCATTTGTTGTTTTTCCATTTCAATAACACGGGAATTTTTATTTTTTTAATTTTGAATTCTTATAACTTTGAAATGGTTTGTTTTCGCAACACCCAAGTAAGAGGAGTTATAGACAATTTCACGCTCTACAAAAAACACCTGAAGGTCAAAGTTCTTCAGATCAACCGTTTCAAATATATCAGCGATTAAAAATAACACTAATAAAAAATTTAAAATATTTTCAAATAAAATACAAATAAATATCATATGCCATATTTATATTATTTTATCTCCACGCGGTCTATAATTTAAACTTTATTGTTGTCAACATTCGATAAGGAAATACCTTGTTATGGCCTAGGCCGATAAAAAATTTTATGAGGCAAGTAATTAGTTCGATTTTTTCTCGCTAGGGGTATTGTTTTGACAAATTAATCCTTTTCTAAGAAATGAACGTACTAAACTGGTTTAATTTATTTATAATAAGCAATAATTTGTTTGTTTTACTGTTAATGTTTAATATTTTTTTCATTAAATTATTGTAAAATTAAATATGAATAATAAAACAAAAAGTGAAGTTAGGCAACCAAGAAAACGCACGATTCTTTTTCTACGATTTAAATTATCTTTAAGTTCTAATTTGCTTTAAGTTTTCAGTGAAATTAAATGTTAAACACAGCTTAAACATTCCAAACTACCTATTTTTTAAATAAAAATCCAAACAAATTGAAATTAGATACCTACCTATTTATTAAACAATTAATTGAATTCAATGTAATAGCAAAAATCCATTTCTACTTAAATCATGTTGCTAAGTATTGTCAAACTATTACTGCTTCTAAAAGCAATAATAATTATTGTACATTTAATGTAATCTTTAGCTAATAAATAAATGAGATTCTAAAAAAGTGAGGTTAGGCCGCTTTGATGTTGAATTGAATTGACCTATATAAAGTGCTTTAAAGATAAATTGTTGTATGCCATTCGGCCAAGAAGTGCCTTTTTGTGCTTCGCTCAATTGTAGGCCTCCGCTACGCTCAAACCTTGAGCTTAGCACAAAAAGCCTTACTTCTTAACCTAATGACATAAATAACTATTTTATGTAAAATCACTAACCACATAATCGCTAAAAGCTTTGGGTGTAAAGTAGCGTATGATTTAATGTAAAATCGAAGTGTCAATTGTCTAGGCGAATGCATATTATTGGCGGGGTCAGGTCAAGGAGTGTTTGATTATTGAGAATGCCGGGCCCTTTTCAATACTATCGAGTAGGTGGGTTGTAAAAGACAGTAAAAACAAGTAAAAATAAAAACAATAATAAATCTAGTAAGGCTTGGTTTCTTTGAATTACCTAATAAATCGAATTAAAATACAGTTTTGTTTATTGTTGTATGTAAAACGACACAAGTAGGATTCAATATTTAGTTGATATTTTATTTTTTAATTTTGATTTAAAATTTAATGAAATCATATAAAAAGTTAAAAAGTAAAGAATAAGGTTAAAAGTTAAAACAATTTCACAGATTTATTTATTTTTGAAAATTATTAAGTTTTTGTCATAGATAAAAGTATAGTATGCAATACGTTTTTTTTAACGTAAGTTTTAATATTGTATTTATTTTATTTATTTATAAGAATTATATTGAAGAAGCTTTTTTTATTTTAACGTGACTGTTTTGACGCTAAAAATTAGCGTCAACGTGAAATTGCATCATTACCCAAATAAAAATCACACTTAAACACGTAAAAATAACACAAACCTGAACATAAACATTCAAACGCTAAATTTAAAATAATCCAAAAGTCTAAATCTGTGTTCCGATCATAGGCAACCCAGTTAACGTCAGTGCATTCGTTGTTGCAGGTTAATCCAGGCAGCAAAGCAGCTTTAAGAGGGATTAGAGAAGGAGATTTTATTACTAGCATTAACGGAAAATCCACGAAGAACATTTCGAATGTTGAGGCGCATAATTTGCTGAAAAATGCAGGGGAAAATCTGGTACTAGGATTAAACGAGTAAGTAATAGCAAAATAAATTTGAGAGAATAAGACTTGACTCGAAACTACAATTTTAAATAATAGATTTATTACGCGAATTGTGCAAAACATTTTTCGCAAAAGTTCGCTGTAGTTTGTACGTTCCTCAACAGATGTCGCTACTGTTTTAAATTGGCATATACTTACCACACATGTGGACCACATGATTTGGTAAGTATATGTAAATTGGTGAATTTTTATCCACATTTTTTCCTTTAAAAATATTATTTTTTACTATTTATTAGTAAAGGTATTTGACGAATGAAATTTCAGCACAATTATACTCACCCAAAATAATTAACGTATTTCAATAAAACCGCAAATAGTTATTTTTGCTGATCAAACACAATCATCCATTTTAACAGGGGTGTTTAATTAAAAGTTTTACTCAATCGGATTGAGTCAATCCATTTAGTTATTTGTTTACGACAGCAGATAAAACACGAAATCAAATTATACTGTTCCAATTTGTTATTACAATTTATTTGATTTAGGTGCCAAAGACAATAATTGGAAAACATTCTAAAATAAAATTAAAATGAAATTGAATAGGTATCGATATACTTACTAAGGTTACTATGAGTGTTGCCCATTATAATTATTGAAATATACAGGGTGTCGCAAAAATTTATAGGTTAAACTCATTTAGTTTTATTAAATATCACGGGGTAACACCATCGGGGGACATTTCGTGAGATTCACCCTTATGTACCGTTTTTTCGCAGAATTACATGAGTTATTTCATTTTTAAAGCCAGCAATGAGAGCGCAGTGTTTCTGCTCTATCAAACAAGATTTTGTTATAATTTTTTTGTTTGTAAAAGACGCTGATAATTTATTTATCAATGAAAAAAGTATATAAAAACAAAATTCGCCATTTTGTAAAAATATATTATTTAATTTAATTTTTTTAGGGACTGTGAAGGTTCGCCAAAAAGACGCCAGTACAGGACCGTACACCAGGAAACTCACGAAGAAACAGTCAAAAGTCAGTAAAAATCACAATAAAAATTACCTCTTTATAAACTGTAATTTTTTAGAATCCAGTGTTACAACTTTTTCTATAAAAACTTCCCAGCACGTTGAATCTAAAGAACCGTCAGACAACGAAGAAAATTTGATAAAAGGCATCGAAAAAAACAATCAAATAAATGGTGAGTAGTTTTTCTAGCTATACTATATTCAAATTATAAAAAAATCAAAGTGTCAAAATTTTTTATACAACCAAAAAACAACATAATTAACGCTTCAGAACTGAAAATGTTTTGTTACTCAATATAGTTATTTTTTGACATTGATAATCATAGACCTAAAATTTAACAATCTGAAAGGTGCGCCAGACGAATTTGTTCCGCTTAAAAAGCCCAACGAAACTTTTTTATGCCATCTTGTTAGTGAAATTCATAACGCACAACCCAAGGGATAGTGTAGTGTCTCGTTAGTTCGAAATCAAAACAAACAAAACAAGTGAGCCTTCGTTAGTCGAAATTGAACTTTTTTTATTTTTAATTTTTGTTCGTAAAATTTTTATAATGAAGTTACCTTGGTTAATTTGTCTAACGAAACAGGGAACTTTGCCTAGAAATGGTGGTTTAAAGTGCAGAGGTAAAAATGAGAGAAAATCCTGGTTGGTTAGGAAATTAAAATGTAGGAAAAAAAAGAACAGTAAGTAAAAAAACAGTGTTTAGAATAGAAAAACATTTCAAATAGGTAAAAATAATCAAAATGTAATGAAAGCATTAATTTATTTTTTCCACTCTCACCTTAAAAACGCCCTTTATCGTAGGTACATGTTTCCATGACACTAAGTGACCTTTTAAATACACATTGACAAGTTGTGGCTTTATGGCGCTTTAGTCAGGGGCTGAAGTTAGCAACAGGTTTTAAGTCCCGGGCTGAAGTTAGTTTTAAGTTAGTTGACAGTTGTCAAATGTCATACAATCGTTAAAATAAAGTGCCTTTCTTGTAAAATAATACTAAATGTGAAAATTATTTTATTATCTCAATACAAAAATACAAAAATATTAAATAGTTTCTCAACGCCAATATTTGAAAAGTTTATATAAACATTGTACTGACATTTTAATTTCGCCGGCAGTAAACTATAACTTAAATTCGGGCACGGACTCTACTGTAAAGTCTTCATAAAACATTTCCTTTACTTTCACTGTAAAAAACTGTCAATTTTCAAGATATATTTCGATTTATAACCTTTATAATTGTGTTTATAAAATATAAAAATGTGACATTTGACAGTTTCCCCTGTTGTTTCATAGATGGCGCTCTATACAAATTTTTGATTTAAATCATTTTAAAATAATAATAAGTATTTGTCGTAGAAAAAGTATAGTATGCACCTCGTTTATAAACTTTTCTATACACTCATTAACTTAAGCACTCGCTCGCAAGCTCGCTCGTGCCTAAATTAAATTCATGTATAAAATGGCGTTTATCAAACTTGATACATAATATACTATTATCTATTTTGCGTTCATAATGACTTCATTATAACACCGCTTTCGGAGCTGTAATGAGATACTTTATCCCACCCAAAATTTTGATTTTATAGGTTGGCTATACTTTAAACAGCATACTAGTAAAATAATATTTTGCATATTGGTCTAATATTTTTATGACTTTTTTAGTACTTACGAGACTTTTCCGGCAATAAATTTTGTTTAACACCAAGGAAAATCCTTTTTTTCTTTTTTAACATTAACAGCCGCTTATTGTAAATAACTAAATTAGGGACGGCATGGCGAATCGATTTTGACATTAACTGTCAAATCAATGACTGTGATACCAACTATCTAAAGTAAAATTCGAACAGTTTATTAAAAAAATATTACCACCCGGTATAATCTTTAAACATTGACATTGTACACACCTATGTACCAACATAATTAAATTTAATATGTAAACATGGCATTAAATACACTGTATAGAATTGTAAAACGCATAAAATCTAAAGGTCGCATATTTTGGGAAATATGTATTTTTAAATCTAACTTTTATAATAGATAATTATAAACTCTATTTTTACAAACAAACGAATTCCCATGTACATCCATAGGTATGTGGATAATTGAAGGTTTACATACATGGCTGCCTATTTTTCTTCGTTTTTTATTATTTTTATTTTTGTTCATGTAAACACAAAATAGCACCTACGGTTTAAAATGAAACCGTGAAATGCATCTATGGTACTTTAGTGAACAATTGCTGTAATAACATTGTTCTATTCACTGTAGGAAATTGCTGTCAAGTACAAACACACAAAAACTTAAATGACTGGCAATATAATAGAAAAACAAATGAGTACAGTAAACGATACCTGCATGTGCATTTTTATTAAAAAAGGTAAAAAAAAATTTGTTTTTATGTTGTTACATTTATATATTATACAAATATACATTGATAAAACATTTACTACAAAATATTACATAAATTATACAAAATAAAAATTAATCTAATAGTTTTGGAGCATAGTGCATCCCGTGGGATTTTTTGTGAAGGGAAGATAAAACTATCTAAAATCAGTTTTTTATACACAAGGCAGTAGTGTATTATCGGGTGTTTTGTTTAAAAATGTGTCAATTTTTTATGACGTCAATAATCCGATACCTAACTGTTATTTCAGGTATGCGTTTATAAAATGTCCCATAATTTCGTAATTAGTGGTCCTATTAAAAAAAATTATATAATCTCTTAAAATAACCAAAAAAAAAGGAAAAAAATTATTTAAAATTTTTTTTTTATCTCAAATGGTTAAAAAAATATTGGCTTTTAAAACTGACATATTGTAATATTTTTATTAGGGGTGTGCGAATAATTCGAACTTACGAATTATTCGTTCCGAATCGAATATTAATATTCGATTCGGAACTCGAATCAAATATTTCGAAAATTCGAATTATTCGAAAGTTCTCGAATAATTCGAAATTTTTTCGAAATATTCGTAAACTATTACCTATATTATTAGCGAATTTTTGAGTATTTTGAATTTAGGGTTTCCTATGTTCGATATTCAAATATGAATTTAACAGTCAACATACATTTTATTCAAACCATGAAATATAGTTACACAAATAGAAGTATTGTTTTTTTTTGAAAGAGAATGAAATAACAGAAATACAACATTTGAAAATTTGCTACAAATTTAAATAATACAAATAATAAATACGATACTGAAAAATTACATGAGTAACCTTTTTCTTATAGATTTTTTTTCTCTAGGTAATTGATTTTTTAACGAAAAGTATATTATTGGTAAGTAGAATATTTCGATACACGATTTAAAGGAATTTAATTGGAAGCAATTGAAAATCCAGAGATATTTCGTTATTTCGCGAATTATTTGAAAATTTTTGAGTTATTCGAAATTTTTTGAATTATTCAAAATTTTTCGAATTATTCGAAATTTTTCGAATTATTCGAAATTTTTCGAATTAGGTATTCGAAATTTTTCGGGTTATTCTATTTTTTTTTTGAATTATTCGTATAATTTTGAATAATTCGAAAATTCAAATTATTCGATTCGAATTCCGAATCGAATATCAATATTCGATTCGATTCGAACGATATTCGCACACCCCTAATTTTTATATTTTGCATGGATCCATTTGGAGCCATTTTGCAAGAAATTTGAACTCAGCTATTTTTAATTCGATTAAAACGATGTTTTTACGGATGCGAAATTTAACCACCTTTCAAACCATATATCGGATTTGGCATATATCGGATTTGGCATACCCTCTCGATGCTGATTTAAGTAAAATCTTGAATTAAAAAACAAACATATACCGTCATCTAGGTGAATAGCCCAAATAAGAAAAAAATTTAAAATAAAGTTTTTATTTTCCTTGTAAAACAGTGTAATACATTATAATTAACAGGAAATGGTAATTAAATAGGTAATAGTAAATATTTAAAAAAAAAACTGGTAAAATTAAGTATTTAGTAAAATACTTTTGACATTTCTATGTACACATAAATTGATAAAGTCAAGGCACACTTAATTTATAAGCAACCAATGAAACTACTTAAATTTATAAGAATATAAGAAAAAATTGAACCTACACCTCGCCAAAGTTTTTTGTTTCGAATGCGTTCCACCAACTTCAAATACCGACAGACAGCTGTTTCGACCTTTATTGGGTCTCATCAGTGTCGGGCAACTTGGTGTAGTGGAACACAATCAAAACAAATTACTCCCTCAGCTTATATGCTCGGTTGTTAAGTCAACAGAGGCGAGATGTAAGAACATCAGGTGATCCACACCGTCAAACGACGTGGCCTTTGCTGCAATCGGTACATACTATGCAACCGGGACTGCACACAGCAATTGTATCACAGATACTAATATGGCCTAAAGGAATCTAGAATTAACCCAAACGGGCTAAACATTAAGGTAAACATTCAATTTTCTTAGTTTCTTTAAGAAACTTTCTTGACCCATCACTGGTAATATTCATAAGAATATAAGAAAAAATTGAACCTACACCTCGCCAAAGTTTTTTGTTTCGAATGCGTTCCACCAACTTCAAATACCGACAGACAGCTGTTTCGACCTTTATTGGGTCTCATCAGTGTCGGGCAACTTGGTGTAGTGGAACACAATCAAAACAAATTACTCCCTCAGCTTATATGCTCGGTTGTTAAGTCAACAGAGGCGAGATGTAAGAACATCAGGTGATCCACACCGTCAAACGACGTGGCCTTTGCTGCAATCGGTACATACTATGCAACCGGGACTGCACACAGCAATTGTATCACAGATACTAATATGGCCTAAAGGAATCTAGAATTAACCCAAACGGGCTAAACATTAAGGTAAACATTCAATTTTCTTAGTTTCTTTAAGAAACTTTCTTGACCCATCACTGGTAATATTCATAAGAATATAAGAAAAAATTGAACCTACACCTCGCCAAAGTTTTTTGTTTCGAATGCGTTCCACCAACTTCAAATACCGACAGACAGCTGTTTCGACCTTTATTGGGTCTCATCAGTGTCGGGCAACTTGGTGTAGTGGAACACAATCAAAACAAATTACTCCCTCAGCTTATATGCTCGGTTGTTAAGTCAACAGAGGCGAGATGTAAGAACATCAGGTGATCCACACCGTCAAACGACGTGGCCTTTGCTGCAATCG